CTTTACCAAGTCGCGCCACCGTGGATTTGCATAGGGGAATGTGTTCGAGCCAGGGCTCACGCCGAGTCTGGCGAAAATAGGGGAGGTTGCGGATGATGAGCAGGTCATCGTCCGCACCGCCTAGCTGACAAGCCAGACGGTAGTCGGCCAACCATAGCTCGAGGTTGGTCTCGCCGCTGTACTTTGAGAGATTCGCTGGCTGACGAAACCGGGCCGGGAAGCAGGCGCTGTGGATGGCCTTACTGAAAACTCTAGGGCTAGGCGGCCCGGGAGAAGGATTGCGGTCCACCCCACTGTCATAGCGACCGCCTCGGTGCAATTGGTAGCCCCGGGCAGCCCCATCGTGGTCGTGGCGCCGTCGTCTGCTGCCCACGTGGTGGCCGTTTTGCGCCTTGCGTTGGTCGTCGAGGCGGTCATGCACTGAGGGGGCCCTGAGGCGGTCGTGCACAGAGGGGGCCCTGAGGCGGTCGTGCACCGAGGGCTGTTTCGAGGCGTCCCCGCATCGTCGAGACGCGGAGCTTTCGGCCTGCTGCACCGCGGTAGTCTCGAGAAGGCCCCGGAGTTCGCCGTGGACCCATCGCCCCTCCGTGGTAGAGGGCTCGGACATCGCTCGGACTAGTATCGCCGCCGCAGCGACGTTCTGGCTAGCGCGATTGAAGACAGGGGGTTGCTCCCCCCCCTCATCATCGTTAATGCGGCGGTTGACGTCGCGAGCCCCCAGCCGGGCCATTCCGCCATCACCGCACCCCCGCTGCTCTTGCTCGAGGGTGGCTCGGAGCTGCTGCAGGAGGAGTCGATCTTGCTCGACCTTGGTTTGAAGCTCACGGAGCTGCTCTAGGTCTATGCGTCGAAGTTGCTCGGGGGTGGGGACACCTACCGCCGCTGGCGGGGACCCCATGCGTGGTGGTGTGGCGTTGGCTGCCCTTCCTCCATCGTTGCCCATGCTCGGCATTCCGAGTCTGATGTGGAAACACTCATGAGTCGGGCCGTAAGCGTCCTCGCCGTCAGAATCGGAGTAGCCGAAGCAGTAGTCGCTCGCGATCATGAAGCGGCGCGTCGCCTCAGGGTCGCGAAGCCCGGAGAAGTCTGCTCCAACCCACGCCTCGTCCTCCTCCGAGGAGTCAGAGTGGGGGTGGATTGGAGTTGTGACTATGGGGTTATGGGCATGACGTTGATGAATGGAGACGAGGGCGGTGGCGTAGGAGGCGGCGACATTGGTCAGCCCGAAAGGGTAAGGGGATGGCGCCGTCGCCAGGCTCGGCTCCGCCAGAGCTGGCTCCTCGGGAGGAGGCAGGACAGAGCTTGATGATGGGGCGTCGGCATGCGCCCACCGCCCTTTTCCCTGTCGAGGCTAAAGCGGGACAGGTCCCCATCTGAGGACCACGTGCGCCAGCGGGGTATGGGATTCCGGTGGAGCACGATCGGCATTCTATACTTGCGCTGGTGTTAGGGTGGACTCACCAGCCAGGCGCTTTGGCGAAGCTTGATCGAGCGGCGGCCGGGCGCCGCCTGCGCGTGCGGTTGCGCGGTGCATGACGTCGTCGTCGGTTGATGGCGCTCTGGGTGAGAGGAGTACCATGTCGTACTCGTGCCCTAGAGACATGAATTCTAGGCTCCCGAACTAGACGATCGTCCCGAGATGCAACGATCGCACGGGATCTGCCATCCGGAATCTGGTGGGATGACTAAGCTGACACGTAGAGGCCCCTACCTGGCGCGCCAACTGTCGGCGTTTCAGAACCGGGGGTCCTTAATCGACTAGTGAATTTGTGCTGCGTGCTCCCAATTCCGGATGGTGATGCAAAGAGACACAAGGTTAATACTGGTTCGGGCAATGGATGCCCTACGTCCAGTCTGAGAAGATGTTCTTGTATTCCTTGTACCGGGGTGCTCGTAGTAGGGGGTTACAAGCTAGGCGAGAGAGGGAGTTCGTCCCAAGTCTCTGTGAGGGGAGGTGATATGAATTACAGAATGCGGCGTGTTGTTCGTGCGAGTGTTCGTGACTCTATCCGCCGTCCCTAGAAACGGTCCTGGCCGCCTCCTTTTATAGCCACAGGGAGGAAACCAGGAGTACATAAGAGAGTTACACGTGGAGCGGACTATTCGATGACGTATTTACTCCTGGAGCAGCATGGCGTTGTCGTGGGAGTTCCCGTAGATGTCTAATCGGTATGGTCTCCACTGCAAGTAACATGCTGCGCATTTGTTGACTTGGTGGATTGCAGAGGCTCGGCGGCCATCGTAGCCGGTCGTCTTTGAGGCTCTGTTGTGCCGAGGCTCGCCGCATCGAGGCCCTCGAGAAGTGACCCAGGTGCAGATGTGGGTCTCAGCGGCCATCAGGCGGAATAGTGCGAGACGTGCGCCTACAGGATACGGTACCTGTATTGTCAGTAAGGGATGGTAAAAAGGTGATCTGACCGTTGTCCCGTCGCTCCTGTTGCGGCCTTCGCCAATCGTGGCTTACGAAGCGGTGCAACCGAAGCGCATTAATCGGATCTGACGACCGCCAGAGACCTTTGAGGCGGAGGCGACGAGGTTGCGGGGCGAGCCTGGCCTCGGGCGAGGCGGAGAGCGCCAATTGTTCGAGGCCCTACCGGGGGGTCTCGGCGCGGCGAGTAAGATCGCTGAATCCGAGGCCTGTCGAGGGGCTCGGGCGAGACGGAGCGGTCGGTCCGCTGATTCCGAGGCTACAGAACCCGCTTCGACTCCCCACGTTGCGATGTCCTTGGTGCAGGAGTTAGGCAGCACAGTGGTCGGTAACCCCTGCTCTGTGCCGTCGCAGATGGCAGGAGGTTGACGTGACTGGCGTGTAGTCGGTCACTTCGCTGTACTGTGCCATCGTGCGTCTGTCGGAGTGGTTGGGCGCTTGGATGTGACGTTCGGTCAGAGCAGTTTGATCGAAGAGGCGGTCATGGGGCTGGTGCCGAGCCGGCCTCGCGCGAATCGGAGAATCGGCACTTCTTCCGAGGCCCCGGGCGAGGGGGCCTCGGCGAGGCGGTCTCGGGCGAGTCGGAGAATCGTCGTCGCTTCTTTGGGGCTTCGGACGGGGTCTCAGGCGAATCGGAGATTTCGGCCGAGACCTCGTTTGTTTATTCCATTGGTTCTGTTCTTAGGGTCTAAGCATTTTTTCGATCTTTGCTTGGGGTACCCCATTTTCTGGTATCCGACAACTTGCTTTCACAAACATTGTAAAGATTCATGTGGACTACACATGCACATATTTTATTTGTACATGGAAAACCATTGCAAAGTTATAAATGAATAAAAATATTCTAATTAGTTTCGAAGAAATGTGAAAATTAAATCATGTGTGGCCACAACTGATTTTGCATCATTGTATAAGATACGATCCATCAGTTAATAAAACTAGATTTTGCATGGATGTTGTATGTTGCATTCTGTCATTGAAACAATAATGCATGTTTGTGTTTCTATGTTCGTGTCTTCATTCCGAATAGGTTACTCTACCATTCATCATAGTCCATGGTGGTGATGATTCTGTAACTGACCCCACAGTAAGTGAGGCTCTATATACATTAGCGGAAAGCAAGGACAAGACATTGAAGTTATACCCTGGGATGTGCCATGCTTTGACTTCAGGAGAACCCAAGGAGAACATTGATATTGTGTTTGCAGACATCATCAAATGGTTGAATGAGAGGGTACCATCAGTTTCCCAGCTTGGATCCAACAGTGGGTTACAAGAACAATGTTGTTAGCCAAAAAAAACATTGAGTAGATGGTAATACGTATTTTTATTTGTTAGAGATAATTTGTAATATACCATCTTGTAAAGGCAGACGATAGTAAACCAGATGTAGTTACTAGATTTGACATTTAATTTGTTGATGTGGGCTGACTTGTAGTTACTTAGTTGGGTGTAATAAGTGTATGAGAAGATGACATCCATCTGTGGACAGTCGATGGTGTTGACATATGTGAGACTCTCGTAATGTCACAGGCTACCATCAAGGTCGTTAAATAAAATGCATCAGCAAGATGGATGGATATAGATGGAACTTTGTGTGTATTTCGTGTTGGACCCAGTCCTTTTTTTGGCTTGGCTTTCTGTTGGTTGAGAGGTCTCCTTCATCTGTTGGACTGCTGCTCTTGTTGAATGGAGATCGTCCATCCATTCATTCATTCATCATACGCTCGCTAGGTGCTACATACATAAATAAAAATCTTGTGCGCGCATGCTGAGTTTGAACAATATAATCCTGCATATATCATAATTGTATATATTTATTTATCCTACAAGTACGAGATGGCATGTAGGAGTACATATACATATATATATATCCCTTCCTCCCCTTCCCTGCTTGTAGTTACTTAGTTGGGTGTAATAAGTGTATGAGAAGATGACGTCCATCTGCGGACAGGTGGAACAGTCGACGGTGTTGACATATGTGAGATTCTCGTAATGTCACAGGCCACCATCAAGGTCGTTAAATAAAATGCATCAGCAAGATGGATGGATATAGATGGAACTTTGTGTGTATTTTGTGTTGGACCCGGTCCTTTTTTGGCTTGGCTTTCTGTTGGTTGGGAAGTCTCCTTCATCGCTGGACTGCTGCGCTTGTTTGAATTAATTGAGATATATTGTCCATTCATTCAAATTAATTCATTCGCTCTCTAGGTGCTACATACATAAATAAATAAATAAAGTCTTGTGCGCATGCTGAGTTTGAACAATATAATCCTGCATAAGTATATCAGACTGTATATATTTATTTATCCTACAAGTAAGAGATGGCATGTGCATATGCATCCATATATATGTATCCCTTCCTCCCCTTCCCTGCTTGCATTGGCATTCGTCTTCATCTATATATATATTATCTACACAATATACTCCATATCAATCATCTAGAAAGTCAACTCTCCTCTGTTTCGTCTTCCCTGCCCTGCTCTTTCCCTGAAAGCAGTTGAAGAGTTGAATCGTCCTTCAATTCTTCTCCGGCAGGCGGCACAGCGGCGGGCGGCAGGACCGGACCGTGATGAGGAGCAGCGGCAGCAGCAACGGCGGCGGGGCAGATGACGGTGGCGAGGTGCTCCTGGACCACGAGTACAAAGAGGTAGGTATTGAATCGGTAACCTCCGTCTGACCCCATCCATCCATCCATGATTCACGGATCTAGATAGTCTACAGCTTGATACTTGGTATATGGTAGGAGTACGTGAGGAACTCGCGGGGGATGAGCCTCTTCGCATGCACATGGCTGCCAGGCAAGAGGAGGACACCAAAGGCGCTCGTTTTCCTCTGCCATGGCTACGCCGTGGAGTGCGGGGTGACGATGCGCGGCACCGGCGAGCGCCTGGCGCGTGCGGGCTACGCCGTGTACGGGCTGGACTACGAGGGCCACGGCCGCTCCGACGGGCTGCAGGGCTACGTGCCGGATTTCGAGTTGCTGGTCCGGGACTGCGACGACTACTTCACCTCCGTGGTGCGGCGGTCGCAGTCGCAGTCAAATAAGGACAGCAAGCGGTTCCTGCTCGGGGAGTCCATGGGCGGCGCCGTGGCTCTCCTCCTCCACCTGAGGCGGCCCGAGTTCTGGAGCGGCGCCGTGCTGGTGGCGCCCATGTGCAAGATCGCCGACGACATGCGGCCGCACCCGCTGGTGGTGAACATCCTCAGGGCCATGACCTCCATCATCCCGACCTGGAAGATCGTGCCCAGCAACGACGTGATCGACGCCGCCTACAAGACGCAGGAGAAGAGGGACGAGATCCGGGGCAACCCTTACTGCTACAAGGACAAGCCCAGGCTCAAGACCGCCTACGAGCTGCTCAAGGTCAGCTTGGACCTCGAGCAGAACCTCCTACACCAGGTCAGATTCATCTTTCCTTGTCTTCAATTTCTTTTTTCTTTTCCCTAGCTGTACAAATCGATCGATCACATGGGGCCAGCCGGGTGACCCTTCGTCGTCATCTTGCTTCCCACAATATTAATGTGATTCACGATAGACGTGGATGGAGATCTACCAGCCTATTCAACACTTTCCTGCATCCAATAGACCAATACTAATTTAACTAAATTAAATTAAACTAGTGGTTCGTTAAACCACCGACGTGTTTACTACTAATATAATAAAGAACGTCACTGTTCGATTAGTTGCTTCTTTGACCAGTCAAGGAGATTAGTCCACAAATTATTACTGCACTCGAATACACTAGTACAATACTACCCCGTCAGACAATATTGACTACCAATATGGCTTGCAATAGGAAGAGTGTTATATACTACTTATTATGAAAAAAATAGATGTCCAAATCATAAAACATTGCCTAAAAGAAATCCTAAACAAACTTAGGATTGAGATCAGATATTGGAATTATATTGGTCGCCATATTGAAACCCTATGATACTGCCTTCATCCGAAAAATATGCAATTCTCACATAGTACCGAGTCAATGCAAACAATTGCATTCCTTTCTAGACCAAGGTAGTATATATTAACATTTGTCCAAATATTACCAGCTATATTTTGATTTCATTCATCAATACTTTTTATATTTTTATACAAAAATATAAAATTACATTTACATTAAAAAGTAAATACTCCCATGTTATATTGGATATTTTTACTATGAGTGATATATGATTATCTCAATGTGATAATAGTGACTCTCTCGCCCCCAATGTTATCCAAGATGGACGACATGGGGCAGCTCCCTCGTCTCCTTTGCCGTATCCCCCGCTTACCACTCTTCATGTCTCCATCGCCACTAAAAATGCTTGCAAAATGTCTGTCGAGCAGCGAGAAGGGAAGTGATATGCTATCTTGCTCCTCTCCCCTCTCCCCTCTCCCAACCCCTCCTCCCCCCCCATCTCCATATTTCTCTGCTGCATCATGCAGCATGTGCCACACCAATGCTAGCATCGAGGGGCATGGTGGTGGCTACACTGACACCGGTGCCCACAGTGCCTAAGCTATATATGTTGTGCTTGGTTGGGGTGCCTTCCCCTAGCGATTCGATGGAGGTTGGGCTCAAGCCTTGGCGGTGGCGCGTATGGGCATCGTAGACCTTATTGAAGGTGTCTCCTTAGTGGCGCTTCGCCTCAGGTGGTTTTGTCTTGGTGAGAACTCGACCAATAATCCTTGGGTTGGCAATGACAGTGCTATATGCGTCGTGAACTTGAAGGCATTATCGACATGAAGCCACATGTACGTGTGATTCGTCGGGCGCTCGATGGAGTTAATATTTTTCGAGAGCCAGAGCTTCTATTTATATGTCGAGGCCTACGTCGAACTCGACACCATGGCTCAAGGCTATCTTCCTTATGCTTCCTGATTTGGTAGCTTTTTCTTGATTCTAGTGTACCTCTAGCGGTTTTTTTGTTGTTCTTTCTCAAAGAACCGAGCAGTAGTCTTCGCTAGTTGGGTGCTATGTGAGTCAGTCCAAATAGAGTTGTTGCCTAGTTCAATGGTGTTTCGGTGTCTAGACCAAGTGGTTTAGTTGTGCCATTGAGCGACTTTAGGCCCCTTTTGGCATGGCTCCCCGAAGAAGGAAAAAAATAGTGGCTTTACTAGCTCATACTTTATTTTGAGAGGAGAGATAAAAACTGCAGTGCATGGAGGAGCTAGAGCTTCACCAAACAGGACCTTAGTTGGGTCGATGCTTTGACTGAGTTGGCTTAGGATTACTTGAATGTGAAGTCCTAAGTTGTTATTGGTTTGGCGGTTTTCATACCGAAGTCGTTTAATTAGGAGTGACTTGATACACCCCCTTTGTTGTGTGTCAGTGTGTGTGTTTGTTTTTGTCCTGTCTCCACTCAAAAAGTTAGATTGGGACTTGTCACTATCTTCTCCTAGTCAAAACTTGCGGCACATTGTCTCCACTCAAACATTAGGAATAACTGGGTGCATGTATGGCTGGTAAGAGACGATGATACGCTGATAGTAGTAACAACCTATGGCTATAGATTGATTTGTTGAATGAATTTATATATGTTGCGTACCCGGGCATCATGCTTTTGTAAAACTCTGACATACTGACATCATGCTTTTATAATCATACTAACATCATGCTTCTGTAATCATAACTGTGTGAGTTTTGTTGGTGTTTGGTTCGGTAATCACAAATTACCGTCCCAGCTTTAATTTGTAAAACTCTTCTTATGCTTAATGAATATTGTGCCAATAGCACCTTCGAGAATTTATATATATGTTGCGTACGTGTAGGTGTCGTTGCCGTTCCTGATCGTACACGGAGGGGCAGACAAGGTGACGGACCCGTCGGTGAGCGAGCTGCTGTACCGATCGGCGGCGAGCCATGACAAGACGCTCAAGCTATACCCGGGCATGTGGCACGCCCTCACCTCCGGCGAGTCGCCCGACAACATCCACGCAGTTTTCCAAGACATCATCGCCTGGCTCGACCACAGATCATCCGATACGGACCAGCAGGAGCTGCTGTCGGAGGTGGAGCAGAAGGCCAGGCACGACGACCAGCATCATCACCAGCAGCACGGCGGCAACAAATAGCTGCTTGCTTGCAATTCTTCTTCATAGAACGAACCATTCAATTTGGTGATGCATGGATACACATGACATGTCAGTGATACATACCCGACTAAATTATTAGGCCGGTCTTACCTAGAAATTAAACAATCAGCAGTTCGATATATATATGAAATCATATATATCATCAAGTCTTTTATAAATTTGATACTCCAACCTGATGTACTATATGGATTGCTGCAGCAATCTAGCTATATCCGATTCCTATCTACAACTAATGGAAGAAGCCCCAGCACAAGGCATTAGGATTTGGAATAATCAAACTGTAAATTTTCAACAGTATATATGCATGCTTACATAGTACATAAAAGTTACAAATATGATCGTATATCCACGTATCTTTTTAATACAAATTGATTTAAAAGTAACCGCCGATGATGTATGTAACAGTAGACTTTTCAAAATCATATTACATCTTTATAAAAACATAAGAAACCTAGGGAAAACATACATGTTAATCAATATGCCCCATAAGAAAAAGAAGTTGAAAAACATAGGACACAAGCACAGAAGGAACACAGATCAAGCCCACTTTATAGAAGCAGCAGTACATAGTGGGTTGTAGCCCCATGGCCCAACTCATGTTTTTTCCCCTTTGGAGACTAGTATTTCCTTACGCTGATCTGGCACTTCATCATGCTTACCGGATTCAATGCTAGGAGTATAATTATAGTCTTCAGGGCATGTTTGGTAGAGCTCAAGCAATGAAAAAAGTAAATCTGAATCCTAGATTCACCTGAATCCACCATGGAGCAGCTCTACTGTGGATCTGAGATTCGTCAAAGCGTTTGGTATAGCTCCACCTTCATCTCTATCTCACTTCCACATGGGCCCCATGTACTAGGGGGCAAAATGCAAAAAAAGAAAGAAAAGTGGCATGGTGATGGCGTGGAGCGAGAAAGAATAGAACGAACTGTTTTTTGTGTAATCAGTGGCATAGTGAGTAATTTTCTTCAACTCCACCAAAGTTGGATTTGGTGGCATGGTGAGTAATTTTCTTCAACTCCACCAAAGTTGGATTTGGTAGAGCACCCCTTGGGGTGCTCCACAAATTTGGTGAATCTAGGGGTAGATCCACCATTTTGGTGGAGCAGATCCATGATGGAGCTGCTGGATCTAAAAGCGTTTGGCTACAAAAGTTGAATCTAGACGGTTTTGGTTAATCTGGAGCTGGTGGAGCTCTACCAAACAGGCCTTAAACCCTTCGACTTTACCCTTTTGACATTCATGCTAGCTCCACCGTGGCACTGAATCAGTGTTTTGCCTCCTCTAAGCACCTTGTCACATACATCTATGTGCTCTTCGAGGCCTAAAATGCTCACTGTCGTATAGTCTCAGCCCTTGGAAGCCTATATTAGATACTTACACTACTAGAGAACAGACTTTAGAACGATGTCCCAATTTAGCATTAGCCTCGGTATTTTTTTGCCGCCGGGACTAAAGGATCCTTTAGTACCGGTTCGTAATACCAACCGGGACTAAAGGTCCCCCTAACGACGATCGTCTCGTGGCGGGGATCTTTAGTCCTCGGCTGTTATCTAACCGAGACTAAAGGTAAACCTTTAGTCCCGGTTATGCTACTGAATAGGGACTAAATGTTTTAGCCCCGGTTTGGGTGATACCCCGGGAATAAATATTAATCTTTAGTCCCGGTTTGGCCACCTAACCGGGACTAATTATGCGGGCCTATACAACGGCTCATTTCTTCCTCCTCGAGTCCGAGCCATTCCATTCAAACTCACCGCCTCTGTTCTTCAGCTTGCTGTTGTTCTTGCTCTCTCCCCCTCCATTGGTGTTGCTCTTCAATTTTGGAGGTAACAAACTTAATCCCCTTATGTTTTATCAGTAGCTTATCTCATTTTGCGATGTAGATGCATGTATAACTTTATATGTTGGACTTTATTATGATTTTATTTGTCATTTTTAGCTTAAAATCACATGATGATTTGCATATATGTTTGGATAAACAAAAGTTAAATTAGTTCATCAAAATCACTCCTCGCTCGTCCTCGCTGGAGCACGCGCCATCCTCATCCCCGGCGGCTTACGTGATCTTAGAATTAATTTTTCCATGAAATGAAAAACTTAGAAAATAGTTAGAAAATTGTAGAAAATCCGTACTAGTTGAACTTGCGGACCGTGATCACCTCGGTGAGCATTTTCTCTGCCGAGCGGTAACGGACGTCAAGGAGGAGCTTTGATTCTACGAGGGAGAGCGGCAACGGTCGTGGAAGACCGTGTTCCCTTCCTCGTAGAATCGGAGCTCTTCCTTGGCCAAATACGGTGCCGTCCGGTGGAGAAATGCTCGCCGAGATGATCACGTAAGCAAGGTCAACTAGTATGGATGGTTATTTATTGAAACATGTTTTTGAGCTATGTGATTTCTATGTCATTTTTAGCTCAAAATCACATGATGATTTGCATATATGTTTGGATAAACAAAAGTTAAATTAGTTCATCAAAATCACGCCTCGCTCGTCCTCGCTGGAGCACGCGCCATCCTCGTCCCCGGCGGCTCACATGATGATTTACAATAGTAAAATCACTTGATAGTTTGGTATTTTACTATTATACATAGTACATATTTCATGGTTTAGTTAGATAAATAAATAATTTTAGTTTTGTTTAAATATATTATTTTAGAAAATGTGAAATTTACAGTAGTTTGCAAAAATAAGTATAGAAAGTAGATGACAACTGGTACCGGATCCTCGGCCTCTCGTTCGGTTGCGAAACGACTGAGGCCAGAACTCCCTCTCATTATCTGCGGCAAGTGTAAGCAGAAGATTGTGATGGAGTACCGAGTCAAGAGACAGGGACCCAACAAGGGTCGTGTTTTCTACAAGTGCCCAGATCGCGATGTGAGTTTCTTACGCATTTAATTATTATGGCTAATTGACCTGCTTTTCTTGAATATTTTTGACTAAATATTTTTTGGCTTTAATTTCTCAAATGGGAAAATGAGCTATGTAACAATTGTAGATCTTGCTAAGATGATCAAACTTGGTATTCAGAGTTTTTTCATCTGAGGTCATTTAGTCTCATTTGAGCAAGTTTGACCAAGTCAAATTTGGTCAAATAAAAAAACAACACTTTGACTCTAGTATTATGAACTCTAAATGACTTCAAATTGAAAAGTTTTGAATACCAAGTTTGTTAAACTCAAAAATATCTACAATTATTGTTTTGGTCAACTTTCCATTTGAGAAAGTTTGGACGGTTCAAATTTGTAAATTTTAAATTTGGACGCCTACAAACTAGTTTTTGGAACCCCAGATTGTCTAAAATTGAAAAGTTTTGAATACCAAGTTTGTTCAGCTCATCAATATCTACAATCCTTATATAGGCCATTTTCTCATTTGAGAAAGCTTGAACAAACTGTAGTTTAAATTTTACAAATGTGTGACATAGTTTTAGAAAGTCTATATGAGATTCAAGAAGTTGTGACTAGTGTTTGACAAAAAATTCTCAAATGAGAAAATAAGCTATGTAACAATTGTATATCTTGCTGAGATGATCAAACTTGGTATTCAGAGTTTTTTCATATGAGGTCATTTAGTGTCTCATTTGAGCAAGTTTGACCAAGTCAAATTTGGTCAAATGAAAAAACAACACTTTGACTCTAGTATTATGAACTCTAAATGACTTCAAATTGAAACGTTTTGAATACCAAGTTTGTTAAACTCAAAAAGATCTACAATTGTTGTTTTGGTCAACTTTCCATTTGAGAAAGTTTGGACGGTTCAAATTTATGATTTTTAAATTTCGATGCCTACAAACTAGTTTTCGGAACCCCAGATTGTCTAAAATTGAAAAGTTTTGAATACCAAGTTTGTTCAGCTCATCAATATCTATAATCCTTATATAGGCTATTTTTTCATTTGAGAAAGCTTGAACAAAATATAGTTCAAATTTCACAAGTGTGTGACATAGTTTTAGAAAGTCTATATGAGATTCAAGAAGTTGTGACTAGTGTTTGATAAAAATTTCTCAAATAGGAAAATGAGCTATGTAACAATTGTAGATCTTGCTGAGATGATCAAACTTGGTATTCAGAGTTTTTTCATCTGAGGTCATTTAGTATCTCATTTGAGCAAGTTTGACCAAGTCAAATTTAGTCAAATGAAAAAACAACACTTTGACTCTAGTATTATGAACTCTAAATGACTTCAAATTGAAAGATTTTGAATACCAAGTTTGTTAAACGCAAAAAGATCTACAATTGTTGTTTTGGTCAACTTTCCATTTGAGAAAGTTTGGACGGTTCAAATTTGCGATTTTGAAATTTCGACGCCTACAAACTAGTTTTCGGAACCCCAGATTGTCTAAAATTGAAAAATTTTGAATACCAAGTTTGTTCAGCTCATCAATATCTACAATCCTTATATAGGACATTTTTTCATTTGAAAAAGTTGTAGAACAAAAAATACTATATTTTCTTTATTTTTATAGGTTCAACAAAAATTTCCTGTCAATTTTGGTTAAAAACCGAGAAAAAATTGAAACATTGACGTTACAGTAATGTGATAATAAATTTCCTATCGAATAATATTAGTTTTATTAATTTTAAGTTATAAATATATTTTTGCATTAACAAAATACTTACTATTAGTAACATTTATATTCTATATTCATAAAAGAAATTAAAAACTTTAGGTTACAAAATTTTTCCTATTTACAATAAATAATTAGTTAATCAATAGTATTTTTTAAAATAAATATTGCAAAGTATTGAAGTTGCTATGGAATTAATTGATTAACCTAGTATTAAACAAAATCAAAATCCCAGGCCTTTCCAATTACGTTGGCGGGTTGCCAAAATTTTCGAACCTTCATCCCGCCCAGCCAAAAACCGAGACTAAAGGGTGGGCGGCAATTTCGGTGCCCGCCCAAAAATACCTTTAGTCCCGGCTGGTAACACCAGCCGAAACTAAAGGACATTTAGTCCCGGCTGGTAAGACCAA